GGGGGGGGGGGAAGGAAGCAGAGCCCAGGATGTGCAGGGGAGAAGCTCCTTCCGGCTGGTTTTCGGGGTCAGGCTCCCTTTCACCTCGGACTGCATCAGAGGGGCCCCCCAGAGGCTCCTCCGGCTGAGCCCCCCAAAAGCAGAGTGCGAATCCTGCCCTGCCCAGTTGTACCTACGTGTCCTCCGTGAGCCAGGCAGCTGCCCGCCCTTCCTTCTGCCGCCTTTGACACCCCCACCCCCTCCTTGGGGCTCTGGCTCCTCCCTCAGTCCACAAAGACCCCCAGATCCTGCAAGGCCCCGCCCATCTCCTTTTCTGCCCCACAGCCCTGCCAAGGGACTTGTGGGGCCCATGGAATCCTTCACTTCCACGCCCCCCTGGTTGGGGGAAGGGGCTTCCGGTTCTAACTTTCCTGTCTTGGACTGCTGGGACTGGGCAGGGGGTGGCCCAGAGCCTCCCTCTCCTCTCCCAGGAGGGTCTCCGGGGGCCTTCAGCTAAGCAGCGCTGGGGAGGAAGCAGCTGCGCCCAGGGCTCCTCGGGGGGGGCTTGAGAAGCCATGCGTGCCCCACCCAGAAGTCATGCTCCTTTGCTCGCCCTCCCGGGGGGGTCCAAAGCTTTCCATCAGAGATCATCACCCTCACCCCCACCATTTAGGAAATCTACCAGCCCCCCCCCGCCCCCGACTCCCAGGGCCTCTGCCAGCTTTATAAGTGCCCACCCTTTAAAAGCAGGCAGCTTCCTTCCTATTTCGCCAGCACAGCGGCTGCAGCTATGCAAGGACTTGGGGGTGGGGGAGGGGAAGAGACCCCTTGGTTTTCCCTGGGTGGGAGACCAGGGCCAAGCAGGCTGGGAAGGACCTGGGGAAGGCTTCACAGGGGGTCCCCAAGGCCGGGGTGGGGGGCTGAGGAGGGGCTGCGCAGGGGGGCCTCCGTGGGGCAGAGGCGGCTTCCTTCAGACGGGAGACCCTCAAGGCAGGCGGGCACCAAACCCCTGCCGGGCCGGGCGCAGCTGCGCCTGGCAGCCTCCGAGACCCGCAGGGGGAGGCCTGGCCCAGTGGGGCAGTACTGGGGGAGGGTCTTGAAGGCCCGGCTCGCTCTGGAGTGGAACGGAGGTGCTAAATGTCCCCCAACCTCCCCCCCTTCCTTCTCTTCCTCCTTGGAAGTACAGAGTCCTTGACTTACAGCCGTTTGTTTAGTGACAGTTCAACAGTGCAGAAAAAAGTGGCTTATGGCTCTTTTCCACACTTATGACTGACTGTTGCATCATCTCTGTGGTCATGTGATCAAACTCAGTCACTTAGCAACTGACTTGTGTTTACGACGGTCGCAGGGTCCCCTGGGGGTCAGGGGATCCCCTTTCGCCAGCTTCTGACGAGCAAAGTCAATGGGAAAGGCAGATTCACTTAAGAACCGTGTTCCTAATTTAACAACTGCAGTGATTCACTTAACAACGGTGGCAAGAAAAGTTGTAAAACGGGGCAAAGCTCACTTAACAACTGTCTCCCTTAACAACGGCCATTGTGGGCTCAGCTGCGGTCATAAGTCGAGGACTGCCTGTATGTTATCTGCAGAGGGGCCAGGAAAGGGGCCGAGGGGCTGCCTGCAGTCCACAAACTAACTGCCCCCCCCCTCCTCGGTTACGACGTCGGGGGGGTCGAGGGTGGGGGCGGGTCCGGCGAATGGAGGCCCACTCGAAGCTCCAGTCAAACGACTTCTCCAACCTCCACCGGGCCGACGCCGAGACTCCGTCCCACCCCCGAAGCACCCTCTCCCAGCCGCTCCCCCCGCCGGGCAAGACGTGCGGCCACGGTGCGGCCAGGCGCACTTGCCCCCCATGGAAGGTGCTGCGGATGTTGGTGCCGCGAGAGAGCCGGCTGCGGTCGGAGGAGGAGGAGGAGGTGGCAATGCTGTGGCTGGAGGGGGAGGCCGGGGGCACCCGACTGGCGCCTGAGCTGCGGGGGGAGGAAGCAGAGGGCCACTCAGGGCGCGGCAAGATTCTTCGCCACCAACAAGGGCGGGTGGGGGGCCCAGAAGAACTTCGGGGCAAAAGATTTGAGACATCCCAAAGTTTTGGCCTTTGAGCCCTGAGCCACAGCTGGCCTCCTGCAGCCCCTCCAGGCCAGAGGTGGCACCCGTCCGTCCTCCTTGAGATGCTGACCGAGCCTGGACTCTGGGCACGAGATGACCCAAGGCCCTGCTACCGCGATGGGATGCCCAGGGCGACTCAGGAGCCGTGGGGCAGGTGCTCGCAGGCATCCTGTGCCCCCCTTGCATTCCTCTCTGGGGAGAAGGAAAGGGGGCTTCTGGGAGGGGGCCACTACCAAGATGGACATGGCTTTCTTGGTCCTGTTGGGATGCAACAGTTTCTGTTTTTCCCTCCGGAAATGAGAATACATCTTCAGATGCACCGTTTCTCAGTCACTTGAAGGTGGGTGGACTTCAACTCCCAGAATTCCCCAGCCAACATGGCTGCCCAGGGAATTCTGGGAGTTGAAGTCCACTCAACTGGAAATGGCCACGGTGGAGACACCCTGCCCCAGAGCCACCACAAGGCTACCCCACACGCCCCGCCCCACCCAAGTCCACCTGTTCTCCTTCCCATTCTGGAGCAGGGAGGGGCGGTCGCCCCCAGGTCTCTCCGTGCAGACGTAGGTATTCCGCCGGGTCATCATACTGGATGGGATGTTATTCTGAAACAGGAAGGAAGACGGCCGGTTCAGAACCTGGGTGCCAGGTAGGCCAGAGGGGCTCTGGGCCCCCCAAAATCAGGGGGATGGAATGGGGTCAGCTGCATCAGATTCTCAGCATCCAGGTCTTCGGCAACTTAGACATTAACAGAATTAACAGAGTTTGAAGGGACCTTGGAGGTCTTCTAGTCCAGCCCACTGCCTAAATAGGAGACCCCCATTCTGGATAAATGGCTATCCAATTTCTTCTTAAAAACCTCCAGTGATGGAGCACCCACAACTTCTGGAGGCAACTTCTGTTCCGCTGATTAATTATTCTGTCAGGAAATTCCTCCGTAGTTCCAGGTTTCCTGACAATTAAATCAGTGAAACGGCTTCCCTCCAAAGGTTGTGGGTGCTCCAACGCTGGAAGTCTTTAAGAAGAGTCTGGACAGACACTTGTCTGAAATGGTGCAGGGTTTCCTGCCAGAGCAGGGGGTTGGACTAAAAGATCTCAAGGGTCCCTTCCAACTCTGTTCTTCTGTAAACCCAGACACGGAAGAGGCCCCAGGGGTCACCTAATCCAAGTGCCTCTTTGGGCAGGATCTGCTTCGGCTTGGACACAAGAAGCGTGACCGGAAAAGTAGGTTCTGGGTTTGGGGAGACCCGGCTGGGAGCCAGTTTTTGCCTGGCTCCATGAATGCCGGGCACAGGAGGACCCGGGCGGTGCCCCAGTCCCATCCTGCAACCCCCGGCGTCCAAGGAAAGCCCCTTGGTCCTGGCAGGGACGGAATGCCTTTCTCCCGAGGCCCTGGGGGAATGACCCTGCCCCCCCCAAAAGAGGGTCCGTGCTGAGGGAGGAGGCTGAGACCGCCAGCCCCCCCTCCTTACCGTGTTGACCGCGGTGTCCTTGCGCCGGTCGGGGATCTCCGATTTGTTGGGGTTGTTTGCGCTGCTGACCATGGGGCTGGAGGGCGGGAGGCCCCCCCGGCCGCTGCTCACCACACTGCCGCTGGTCTTGCGCGAGGGCATCCGCTCCTCCTTCAGCTCCCCGTCCCCGGCGCTGGTCGGGCTGCGCTTGGGGTGCAGGGGGACGGGCGAGGGACCGCCTGGGGGGAGGGAAAGGGGGCACTCTCAGGGGGGACGGCCAGCCTGGAGCCAGCGACCCTGAGGAGGGGGACCAAGGGGCTCAGGACGGAAACTATGGTGGGTTTAATTTCTTTTTCAATTTCCTCTCAGATGAAAACAGAATAAACACCTGTGTTTTTCAAGCAGGTAGTTCTCAACTTACAACGGTTTGTTTAGTGATCATTTGAAGTTACAACACAGTGGAAAAAGTGACTTATGACCGTTTTCCACACTTATGACCATTGCAGCATCCATTTATGGTCACTTGATTAAAATTCGGATTCTTGGCCACTGGCTCATATTTATGACGGTCGCAGGGTCCCGGGGTCACGTGGTCCCCTTTGGAGACCTCCTGACACGCAAAGACAATGGAGAAGCCAAATTCATTTAACAACCAGGTGATTAACTTATCAACTGCAGTGATTCACTTAACAACAAGGTCATAAAAGGGAGCAAAACTCACTTAATAACTGTCTTGTTTGGCAACAGAAATTTGGGGCTCACTTGTAAGTCGAGGACTACCTGTGTTACGTTCCCTTTCTCAACCTGCTGGCCGTCTTGGATGCCCCTCAAACCTCTGGAAGCTCCACAGCTGCTGGAGTTTAGAGGGATCAGAGGACTCCTCGAGGCTATCAAGCCAACCCCCTGCCTGCAAGAGGACCCCAAGCTCCCTCCAGCCTCAGCTTCACACAACTGCCGTGTTCCCATGTTATGATGTGGGGGCCATCCTGGTTCAGACAAAGCTAAGAGAAGGGCTGGGGGTCTGCAAGCCAGGATGCCATGAACAGTCTTAGGAACTGCCTGAGGCCCTCCGACCCCAAGAGGGGTCCTCGGTGCCCCAGAGTCGGCAGAGGCACCGGCCACTTACAGAAATCGCTGTGCCGTCGCTGCCGGTGGTATGTGGAGGAGGCCCGCTGGCCCTTGGCGTGCGAGGAGGACTTGCTGGTGCCGTTGGAGACCTCGCTGGGCGGCCGCGCTCGGGCCAGCGAGAGGCTGCTGCCTGTGCGGGACTCCCCCCCTTCCACCTGCTGGACAGAGCAGAAGGTCAGGCCCCTCAAAGCGATGGCAGCACACGCTCCCCCAGGCACATGCAGGCCTGCAGCTCAGGGGGCAGCTGCATCTCTCTCGGGGGTGGGGGGGGGGTGGAGATGGTTCCTTCCTTAGGCAGCTGGAGTCCGGCTTCTCAGAAGCCAGGGACCCTCCCCCCACACCCAGGGTGGGTCCCACAGCCCCTCGGTCCTTGGGTGGATCCAAATCCTGCCCCCTGTAGCCGAAGGCGAGTCCTGGCCAACTGAGCACATCTGAAGCACGTGTGCCGCCCCACTGCGGCTTTGCATCAGGGAGGCCCCTCCTGCTCTAAGAGGCAGCCGGGGGGGGGGGAAGGGGGGCTTTGGCAGCATCCGTACCTCGTTCTTCCTGCCCAGCAGCAGGTAGGTGGCTGTGACCTCGTTGTACTTTTGGTTGGCCAAGGCTTCCTTGATCTCTTCCCGGGTGTAGCCCATGCCCACCATGACCTCTGGATAGGGAGGAGCGGAGGCAGCGGGTTAACCCAGCCCGAGGCCAGGAGGGGCTAGAAGACCCCACAGCCAACAGGGATGGGCGATGCTGGCCGGCTGCCTCGGTGCCCAGGAGAGCAGCTGGGCCTTGGTAGCAGGCCCCTCAGTCCGGGGCACCTGTCCAGGTGGGGAGACTCAGGCAGCAGGATCAGCCGCAGTCGCGAGGGGGAGGGTCCAGGGCCACTCAACCCCAAGCACGGGGGGGGGGGCGCCCTACCTATGCGCTTGGCATCCGCAAAATCCTCCTCGGGTTCTCGGTAGGGCTTCAGCTCCTCCCCCTCGTAGCCAATATTGATCCACTTGTCCTTCATTATTTGCTGGAGGGGGGGGGAAGAAGTGTTAATGGGGGATCGACCTGCCAATCCTGCCAATGCAGCCCCCTCGGTGCCCACCTGGCACCCTCATAAGCCCCACCTGAGGTATCTGGACACCCGGGTGAGCAAAGGCCAGTCCATGCAGTCCTCAGCACATGCTCAGAGGCACCTTAAATTCTTCACCCTGGGCCAAGGGACTCCCCCCCCATCTCTTTCCAACATGGGTCTCCATTTCAGGGGAGGCACAAACAGCCCCCCAATAATCTACAGGGCGCCTGCAGAGGCTCAACCCCCACCCCTGCCCTAACACGCACTGAGCTGTGCCAGGCGGGGAGGGTGTGGGCTGCTCAGTGCCTCCCTGACACACCATGCAATTATCCCTGAGTCAATTAGGCTAATTACAGTCATTGGTGGGGGGGGAGTCAGGGGAGGAAGGCTCAGCAGTGGGGAGGGCCAGATCCTGTGGAGACGGTTGCTAATTAAAGGCCCGGCTTCTGGTGGGTGTCCGGGAAACTGGCATGGGGGACGGGCAGTGCCAGCTGTGCTCCTCCAGCCCCAGAGGGACCATGAGGGAGGAAGGAGCATCTGGAGCCGCCCAGGCCTGGCAAAGTGCCACGTGGCGCTTGCAGAGGAGCTGGGCCACGCCGGGCCCCCTCACCTCCAGGGTGCAGCGCTTGGCAGGATTCAGCACCAGGAAACGCCTCAGGATGTTTTCGCAGTCCGTGGACATGTAGAAGGGGACACGGTACTTGCCACGCAGCACACGCTCCCGCAGCTCCTGGTGGGGGGGGCAGAGGCCTGTCGGTCAGAGCGCAGCCTGGCTCTCCCCCAGTCCCTCCGGGCAGCCAGTCTGCTGGGGGGGGCAGCGCTGCCTGGCCAAGGGTGCCAAGGGGCTCGTGCCGAGGCCAGTGACTACGTGCCAGGGATATGCCACCCACTCGTTCCCTGGGTGGGAAGCAGCCTTTGCAACTTCAGGCATCGGGCAACCGAGCAGAGTGAGAAGAAAAGACGCTTTGCACAGCGAGACGGGAGATCCGTCATATCAATTAATAAAATAAATAAATAAAAACCAGCAAAGGGCCCCAAGCACAGAAAGGGAAGGCCGTAAGCCCAGGTGGAGGTGCTGAATGCCCAGCTGCCCTTTTCCTTTCCCCGAGGCAGAGGTCCGGCCATCCCGAGTGGATCCAGAGCCAAGAGCCCATCTGGCACAGGCCCCCCCGAGCATCCCAGCCAGCCCCCCCTTTGCAAAGAGGACCGCAGCGGAGGCTGACCTCGGGCTCCCCTCCTTGCAACTGGGGCGCCCCGACCTGCCCTGCTTTCTGCACCCCAAAGCTTCTGCCCCACGGCCTCACCTTGAGGTTCTGCCCATCGAAAGGAAGGGAGCCGCTGACCAGGGTGTACAGAATGACCCCCAGGCTCCAGATGTCCACCTCCGGCCCGTCGTACTTCTTGCCCTGGAAGAGCTCCGGGGCGGCGTAGGGGGGGCTCCCGCAGAAGGTGTCCAGCTTGGAGCCGAGCGTGAATTCGTTGCTGAAGCCAAAGTCAGCTATTTTAATGTTGGCATCCGCATCCAGCAGCAGGTTTTCCGCCTGAGGGAGAGGAAGGGGGGGGGAAAAGTTTGACTGCATCCGAAGTCTAATGGCCAGCAAAATGCTGGACGGAGAAGCTGCCCAACTTGCAGCTTCCGTGGTTCTTCTAGCTCTTCCAGTGAATCAACTCCCACCAACTCTGAGAGCAGGCAACAAGTCTTCCCATTTTACAGGTGGAAGCACTGAGGCTCAGGGGGAAGGTTTCTCCAGGGCCACCTCACAAAATCCAGCCCCTCAGTGTAAGCTTTGGGGGCTGCCCCAGGATGGCTGAACCATTGCCCCCCCCCTCAGGACAGGAATTGGGCGGGGGGAGGGAGAGATGGCATCAGTGCTGAAACTCCCCACCTTCAGGTCTCTGTGTACGATATTCTTCTGGTGACAGTAGTGCACAGCTGAGACGATCTAGGGGTGAGAAGGAGGGGTCCTGGCTAGGGTGCAAGCCTCCCCCCTCATTCCCCCCTCCAGCACCTCCACAGCCCCCTTCCAGGCAACGCAGCTGAGCTGGTGCTTCTGCCCTGGAGACTGGACTCCTCGGCCAGGCGAGTGTCCAGTGGAGGAGGGAGTCTCTCTTAAACCGCCCCCCCATGCCAGAGGGGCCCATTTGCCCAGCACGGTGAAGGGACCCAAGCGGACTCTGCCAGGCAGCCAGAAATGCCCTCCTCTTGCTTGCCCACCCCTGTCCAAAGCCCAAGGAGCGGGCATTCTCGGTAGCACCACGAGGCCCAACCTGTCTGAACTTGGCCCGGGCTTCTTTCTCCTTCATGCGGCCGTGGGACACCAGGTAATCGAAAACTTCTCCTGCACGAAGAGAGGGAAGACGGGCGAGTTAGGCCAGCCTGGATGCCAGGGCCAGAAAAAAGCGATGGTGGGTGCCATGGACATTTGGACCCGGGGCCATTGGTGCCAGGGAAGGGCAGGCGAGGCTTACCGGCACTGGCATACTCCATGACCAGGTAGAGCGTCTTCTCCGTCTCGATCACCTCAAAGAGTTTCACTGCGCAAAGAGCCAGAAGCAAAGTCAGCCTCCCCGGCCTCTACCGGGGGGGGGGGGCTTCTTCACCGACGCTGCGGCTGCCCCCCTCCCCCCCGGTCACCCCCACGAACCTCGCAGGTCTCTTTTTAAGGGTGGAATATTTTGTGTTATTTGGATGCTTAAATGCTGTTGCCACCTCCAAGGTCCCCCGTTGGGGCAAGCGCTAGTGAGGGATGCCGCACTGGGCGAAACTGGGGGGGGGAGTTAAAATTCTGTGCGGCAAGAGGACAAACGGGCACCGAGACCCCACCAGGCGATTCTGCAGCGTTCCTTCCTGGGGGAGTGCGAAGCTTTGCGGGGGGCATCCCACTCCCTGCTCCCCAAAACTTTGCCTCCGTCCGAGATTCTGCTCATTTCTTGGGGGGGTCCTTTTTCTGACCCCCACATCTAGCAAGCTTTTGCAACCTGATGCCCTCTGAGCCCCCCTTCCTCTCTCCCACAAGCTGCCTGCTGAATTGAAAGATGAACCCCCATTTTGCCCCCTCCCTCCCCTGCCCCCCTCAGCTGCTGAAGAGCACGACTTCCTTGGGGAGGGGGGTGACACGTCCACGGGGTGTCCTAGACTTCTGTTTCTTACCAATATTGGGGTGATTTAGTCCTTTCATGATCCTGACTTCTCTGAAGAGCTGCAAAAACGTCCCAAACAGGAGTTAGCTGACCCCTCCCCAAAAACTGCAGCATAACATTTTTCTCTCCAACAATCCCCTCCCTCTGAAATGCAGACCGGTTTTAAATTCCCCCAAACATGGATGTTTCTGTAAAAAGGGAAGGCTCGTCCAGTTTTGCTGGCAAAAGGGAAATGGGCCTTTTCCTTCATTTATCCTCCCCTGCGCGTGAACCTTTATTGTATTATTTTCACTTTTTGCTGTAGCTGCTATTGCTGTAATTTCCAACAGTCACTAAGTGGATGGTTGTAAGTCCTGGCCTGGCCTGGCCTGTCTATGCGATACGGCCCTGGAAGGAGACCTGGGGCTGGAAGGAGGAAGGCGGGGTCTGGTCAGGTACCAAAAGTTTTGAATTTGACCAACTCCGGGGAGGGTCATCAGGCCTGGAACGCAGAAAAGGGCTAATAATGTAGGGCTGGGAGAGCCCTGAGTAAAATCTTGGACTCCCGAAATGTTCATTTCAGCCTTTGAAAGGTCCCTTTATAGCTGCAGAGGAAGGACGGATCGATATCACTCCAGGTAGCCAAGATTTAATTTGTTGTTTAAGAAGAGAGATATTTTCTAAAGCCATTGTACTGGATGCAGGCATTGCGATGCGTTTTAGAGGCTTCTCTTTAGATCTTTTTCTTTCTTTTCTTTTTCATGTGCATTAGCAATAAAATGATAATAACACATTAAAAAAAAGTTCTGGGGACTTGCCATGAGCCGTCAAAAGTGCAGGGTCAGGCTTCACCGGTCCCAGGCAGCCTTTCCTCTGTGCTTACATTTATGTCTCTCTCTCTCTCTCTTTGCAGTTTGGCTCACTTGCCAGAGCTCTTTGCTCTGAGTGTCTACAGCACCCGGCTCTGGGAAGGGCCCCTAGGTTTGATCTGCAGATAATGGATTACCGGGTTGTCAGGTTTGAATTGACTGTGGTTGTCTTGCCAGGCTGTGCTGGGGGTTGAATGGCCTTTAATTGATTAACCATGATTAATAATAACCCCTTTCAAGAGGATCTCCCAAAGCAGTTTTTGCATAATTAAATTATAATGAATAACAATGCTGCAGAGCATGTCTGGCTGTCTGCTTGCCCTTCTCTCAATTTCATTCACTCCCAGTGAAGACACTTTTGGAAAATTCCGGGGGGTGGGTGGGTGGGTGGGGGTGTTTCTGTGCATCTGAAGGGCACTTTCCGCCCCACCCCCACCCTGTCAGTCACAACATAGACCCCACATTCCCTTCAGGGCTCTCACTGACCATCCTTGGCCACTGATGGGGAGTCTGGCCCCTCAACACAAAGGAAAGCTGGGGCACCCAAAGGGTCAGCGGCTGAACCAATGGCGACGGAGTCTGCCCCTCTTCCCTGAAGCTCATTTGTCCTGGAGAATCCAGCCACTAATTAGCAGGCCCGCCCCTCCCCCTCCCCCTGGGATGCTGGCAGAAGCCGGGTTTCCACAGCGACCAGCTTAGACTCTGAGCCGTGATTAGGGAGGGGGGCAATGGGGAGCAGTGTCTCCCCTCCCCCCCACTGCTGGCAGGAAAGGCAGGGAGCCAAGAGGGAAGGGGGAGGAGACCTCAACCTGCATTGCTCAAGTCCCTCCCTCCGAGGGTGGCACCCTGCCTGCCAGGCGGGGAAGGGGCTGGTTAGGCCTGCAGAGGGGAGGGGGCTGCATCTCCTTGTGGGGCTGCCCTTTCTGGGCAGATGAGGCCATGGCACCCCTCCCTCCGTGCCCCCCCAGGTCCCCTGGAAGGGGATACAGTGGGCAGCTGGGCTCGGAAGCCCCCCCTTCATCCCCCCAACATTTGCTCACCTTCTGGAGACTTGTTGGATTGAGCTGCGTCTTGTCAATGATTTTGATAGCCACCTGGGGAAAACACAATGCAGAAAATCAGTGGGGCTCCCAGGGTGGGGCCTCACAAGGACTGGGCTGAGGCCTCAGTGGCTCCATGGAGTGGGGAGGGGGTCACGGGCCTCCTATGCCCCCACCTCAGCCAATTCAAGAGGGAAACCCACAGCACCACACACCGGGCTGGCTGTCTCTGGGGTTGGGCGCTTCTCTGGGTCTGTGGGGAGCCCTTCCCTAGTTCACCCAGCGACCTTCCCCTTTGCTTGCCAGCTCTGCGTCTCCCCTGGCCAGTTTCAGCTGTAATGGGGGGGGGAACTCTCCCACTTCCCCAGCAATCTGTGACACCCCCCCCCCAGGTCCTCCATGCCCCAAAGGTCACCCAGCCTCTGCCTGACTCACCTCCCTGCCGGTCAGGATGTGCCGGGCCAGCTTGACCTTAGCGAAGTTGCCCTTGCCGATGGTCTTGAGCAGCCGGTAGTTGCCGATGTGGGGCTGCTCGTCGGGGCAGGAGGCGATGGAGTTGCGGCACCGGGCACCCAGCGAGCGGCTGGACCATGACGAGCCCTTTTCGGACCGGCTGCTGGCCAGGGTGGAGGGCTGGGGGGACAGTGGTGGCGTCACCGGCAGGGGGGCCGGCTCGAGAGTCACCACCGGGCAGCGCTGGTGCTAGGGGGCAAAGGAAGGGTTACTGGGGTGCTCACATAATGGGGGGCAGGAGCCCTGCCTGCTGGCAGCCCCATTTCTCCGGGTAAGCCTTCGCCAACCTGTGCCTGACGCTTACCACCCAGAACTCACCCCCCCAACTATCCTTCGATGCTTGTGACCACTAGCTCAGAGAACTTCCCTGGGCACCTTCCTCCCCAGGAGATCCCTCTTGGTCCCAGGAGTGGCTCCCTAGATCCTCTGTGACTGCAGAGTCGGGTGGCCCAAAGAGACCCGGCTACCACGTTGCCTCAAGCCATGTTTTCTAACCCGGGTTTTGGTGCCTAAGCGGTCATTCTCGAATCATGCAAGACCAAATCGCTCAAGGCAGTGCGCACACTCAGCCCGCGGGTCTTGCCCTCCTGGCTTTGGCTTGCGGGTGAAGGAACTGTGCTGAGTCTCCAGTCCGGTACCAGCTGCCTTAATGTGTGAATGCAGCCAGAATGAAAAGCGAGCAAGGAAGTTATGCTGGGAAGAGACAGAGAAGCAGCTGGGGCTCCAGGGGATTTGGGCCATCTCCTGAACAGGGGGGTCGTTCACACAACCCACTGAACTAACCCACTTCCTGGGTTCGTACAACATACTGAACCATGAACTAACCAAATTCATTTATTAATTAACCAATTAATCAATAGAATAGCTTGCCTCTTGGTGGTGTGGGTGCTGCATCACCTGAGGTTTTCAAAAATGGACCACCTTTTGACCTGGATGGTATAAAGCTCCTGTCTTGAACAGGGGGCTGGACTAGAAAACCTCCGAGGTCCCAACCCTAGGACCCTATGTTTCTAAAATGGAGTAGATTCACACAACCCTCTAAGAAAACTATCCAAGGGGAAGACTAACCACAGTTGATTCTTCAACTGATCCAGTTTGGGGGTAGTGTGAACCCAGCCTCCGACTCCGACAACACCCAAAGCCTTTGCTACGCAGTGCCCCGTGCCGTGCAATCAGCCAGTGCCTTCTGGGCGCCGATTGCCCTCCCTGTTCTGGGCACAGCTTTCTGCATCTGTCGGCCAAGGGTGGGCACCGGGGGCCCAACCGCACGGGGCCGGAATGGGCAGGGCCAGGCAGCCCCTTCACCTTCGCCTTCACCTTTGGAGCGTTTCGAAGATGGACGTTGCCTTCCACCTCCCTGCTCACCATGGCCAGATGAGTTAGGGCACAGCATTTAGCAGGGACGGAGCCCAGACAATGCCACAGCCTCTCCAGCTGAAAGAGCTCGGTTGCAGCTTTCCAGCAGTGCCAGATTGTGCCCGTGGCCACACCATGCCCAGTGCCAGAATTCTGGCTGGCAGACATCCTGGGGACGGGGGGCATTTCCCATGGCTGAGAACAGAAAGGCCAAAGGTTGAAAGGGCCTTCTCCATGGCACAGAGTGGGTGTGTGGGGGGGTTGTGTGTGTACCCTCCCAGTTGGGTTTTACAGACCACTAAGACGAGGGTGGCGCTGCAGGATTCTGGGGGAGAGTTTGGGGGGGAACCTGATCAAAAGAGCTCTTGGTCTCCTTTCCTTTCTGCAGGATTCGCAACAGCCTGCCCATGACTCAACCTGCCCCACCAGATGACCTCTTAAGGGCCTCGTTTCCCTTGGTGGAAATGCTTGGAGGAGAACCCCCCCCCCCAGGCTGCCCTCCCTGCAGCAGTGAAGAATGCCGGGCAGAGACACCCGGAAGGAGCCGGGTGTGACGATGACCTTGTTACTTGTTTCCAGTTAGAACAAACCTCCTTTTGTGGCTTCTGGCCCTGGGCTGGGCGGGGGAAGCGGCCATAACACGGCTACTTGTTGGGGGGAGGGTAAGGTCCGAGATTCCCACCTGAAAGTAAATCTTATCTGCTGAAGAGCCGGGCCTGCGAGGAGGAGCATTTCTTCCCCCCCCTCCCCATCCTCTTGGCAGGCAGCCACAAAGCGGCCCTTTTCCTCACCCACACCCCTCCAGCCAGCTGCCCTGCAGAGTTAGGATTACAAGTCCCACAATCCCCAGCCAGGAAACATTCCCTTTGGCCCAGGGGCTCCCGTTCATAACCAACAAGGCTCTGAACTCAGCCATAAGAACGCAGCAAGGACACGCATGTAGCACACACACACACAGACCCGTCTGTCAGCTCTTCCCAGAGCCCTCTGACCGCTGACCGCCCGCTCCCTGGGAATACAGGCAGTCCTCAACTTACGACCACAGCTGAGCCCAACATGTCTGTTGCTAAGTGAAATGTTTGTTAGGTGAATTTGCCCCATTTCACGACCTTTCCTGCCACGGTTGCTAAGTGAATCATTGCAGCTGATGAGTGAGTAACCTGGCTGTTAAATGAATCTGGCTTCCCCATGGACTTTGCTCGTCAGAAGGTCGCAAAAGGGGATTGCATGACCCCGGGACACCACGACCGCCAGAAATACGAACCAGTTGCCAAGCATCCAAATGTTGATCACGTGACCATGCGGATGCAGTGATGTGAAACTCGGCCCATGAAGGCCGACCGAGGGGAGGACCTGGGCACGCTCCCCTTCCGAAACCCGAATGGGGCAAGGAGAAGAAAACGGGCCCCTCCAGAAGCACAGGATATGGAATAATGAGAACAATTAACCAGTGGAACAGCTTGCCACCAGAAGTTGTGGGTGTTCCATCACTGGAGGTTTTCAAGAAGAGATTGGATAGTCTTTTGTTTGGAATGGTGTAGGATAAGGGGTTTCAACCTTGGGAACTTTAAGACTTGTGGACTCCCTGGGGAATTCTGGGAGTTGAAGTCCACAAGGCTTAAAGTTCCAAGGCTGAACACCCCAGTGGTATGAGGTCTCCTGCTTGAGCAGGGGGTTGGATTAGAAAACCTTCAAGGTCCCTTTGTGCTCTCTTTTCCTTCCTTCCTTCCTTCCTTCCTTCCTTCCTTCCTTCCTTCCTTCCTTCCTTCCTTTTCCTCCCTCCCTCCCTCCCTCCCTCCCTCCCTCCTTCCTTCCTTCCTTCCTTCCTTCCTTCCTTCCTTCCTTCCACCTGATTCGAGAGAGAGGTTGCTGCTGCTCACCTCTTTCTGGCCCCATGTCTAAAGGGGGATTCTTGGGGGGGAGAGAACAGAGATCGCCCCCCCCATGCAGCTGACCAGGCAAGGAATGGAGCCAAGGAGGTGGGGGGGGGGTGCAAAAGTCAGAAACTTTGGCTGGCCTCCTCAGCAGGGGCGTTGGGGAACAAGGAGGCCTGCTTTCAGAGGACTCTCCTTCCCTGGGCAGCTGGGCGGGGGGGGGGGAGCTGGACACAGGCCTGCTGGAAAGCTCCCTGCGTTTGTTTCCTCGGTGCAGGAATGCCTCGGTGCATTGTGGGATGCCCAGGAACGCTGCCTGTCCTCTCGTGAGTGCGCAGGGCAAGGGGAGGAGGGAAGGGCTTCGGCGCCCCCCCTCTTCAGCACTCATCAATAATGCACTGGAAAACAGCGCTGCACGCTTCAAAGAAACGGCAGGGTGGCGGTGCCCCTGGTGTGTGCCTGGTGTGTAGATCCTCTCACTCCAGGGGGGGACCTTTTGGAATGCCTGAGGCGTGCAAAACACTGCCGTCCTTTGGACACCCCCTTTCCCGTGCCCGAGGCGAGTGCAAATCCTGGGCACATCATGAAAAAAAGGGTGCTGGGTACACAGCCGGTTCTAGGCTGCAGTAAAACCAACCATGACTCAAGGAATTTCAGTGCCAGATCCGTCTTTCAGTCACCAAGCAGGCCAGAAGGGGGTCGCTTGGAACAAGGCCTTCAGCCCAGGGGTCGCACCTGCCCTGGCACCCCCCAGCCCCAAAAGGTTTTGGCCCCCAGTCAATCCGAAGAGAAAGCCTTCGCCAGAGTCTTGTATCGCCCCCCAGTACAGGTGGGGGAAAGGAAGGCACCCAGGAGGCTGAAGGTGAGACCGATGCCAGTGGGGCCTTGGGCCAGGGAGGTGGAGTGCCACTCGGTCCCACGACCCCCCTCAGGCATGGAAATCCTCTGGGCGATTCCCTCACCTGCTTTTCCAGCCTACCTCACAGGGTTGTTGTAAAAAATCTGGAGCTCTTGGACCAAAGCCAGGATAGTAATCTAACAAATCCATAACAAATAAACTGGGACTATTCATTCCCTGTCTTTTTATACAGCTTTTGCTTGCTAACATTCCAATTTAGGTTACTACCTTTAAACTGCTGAAAATGTGGTTTGTTTTTCCCTACCGCTCTCCTTAACAGAGGCTCCTCTCTGGGTCCTTTGCCCCACGGCTTCCTCTCTGATGGGGTCCAGGGGAAAGTTGTTAGCAGACCAGCCTTCCTTCCCAGCTTCCCACCCCTCTCCTTTCTCAAGGCACCAACCCTGGCAGGACCCTGCGGGCAGGGCCAACATCCTCCCTGGTCTGGCCAAGAAGGCCCCCCCCCCACAGCACCCACACCAGCCCCGGACTGAGCCCCAGAGCGCACCTGGCCTCTCCCCCCAGATCCAAGCCGGACTCTGCGTGCAAATCTGGACCTCCTCATTTCCAGCCAGACCTCTGTGGCTCTCAGGGGCTCCACATCGCTCAAAAGCCAAGCCGGAGAGCAGATCTGCAAGCCTCAGGCTGCCCTCCGGCTTTACTCACGGGCAGGGAGGCAGCGCAGGTCCCGGGACCCTGGGAGGCTCTCTGAAGCGCCCGGACCCAGGTGGGACTCAGGGCAGCACCTTCGCTCAGCAGCGGCTTCTGCCAAACTGGCAAGTCGTTCACTCCCCGGAAGCCCCAAACGTTACTAACTTTTAATCCAGGAAGATCATCACAACAACAACAACAGAGGAGGAGGAGGAGAGCCCAGGTGATCCAGGAAGCAGCCCTGCCCTGACACCTCATCTCCGAGAGCCACAGAGCCAGCAGCTGCTGCTCTTTCAGGGGAAACCGGAATGGCGGAGGAGCTCCCCAACTGGGTGAGCGTCCCACTCGGAGTGAGAGGCTGGGGCACACCCAGGCAGCCGCCCGGCAGGGAAGGCCTGCACAGGGGTGGATCCACGCCCTCTCTCCAGGCCCACACGGCAAGGGTGTAGCATCCCCCTTGAGTCAGGGCTGTTTACAACCACCAGGTCCTCCAGAAGGCACAGAGCAGCCCGGGATGACTTGGGCCCAACTCTTGGGGGGGGGATGTTCTCCAGCCCAGCCTCCTCAAGGCCCAGCCGCACAAGGAGAAGCCGTTGGCCAAGGCCAGGGGGAAGGCAGGGAGCTAGGAATCTCAAGGTTGCAAAGCAGGAGATGGTGCCCGTCAGTCTCTGCCAACCTGGCATGGCCGAAGTCTCAGGGCTCTGGAGCCGCCGTTCTCCTCAAGGGTGTAACGTGGGGCCAGGGGCAGCAGCTTCGTACAGAGCTCCGGGTGCCCGTTGGAAGCTCGGGGGAAGGGGCATTCGTGGCAGGGAGTGCTGGGCCCTCCCTCGGCTCCTCTGGCTGCAGGACGGGCATCGGAAGGGCCAGCTCCTCTCCCTCCTCCCCTCAAGGAGAGGGACTCCGTGGCTTTGAACAGGCAGGGCCTGCGGCCTTCCAGCTGTTCTTCACTGGGTTCACTGGCTTGGGCTACCAGGAGCTGCAGTTGCCTGGCCCTGTTTGGAGGCCCCCCCTGAACTGGTTTGGCAAAGAGCTCTCGAGCAAGATGGCCCCTCCTGTCTCACTCAGTCGTTCGCACTTTCTGCACTCCTTGATCTGAGTGAGCTGCTGGGCTGAAGCTGCTTGGGAGCCACACCCGGGAACTCCCAGGCCCAGGCAGGTAGGGGCAGGCTGCATTGCTCACTTGCAGGCCAAAGGAGTTCTCAGCACATGCTCAGAGGCACCCTGGTCATTTGACAGCTACTGGCCATGGACGCAGGTGCTAGGGGCGATGCCTAGCTGGCTGCCATGGTGAGGACCTCGCTGCCATGGCAACACAGCGGTGCGGCACTCTTCAGGAAGCCTTGGCGATTGGCGATGTGGCTGACAGCAGTGGCGGCGGCAGAGAGGGTGGGGCCTGAGCCAAGGAAGGCCTGGCAGACAGCAGCCGTGGGCCTGGGGGGGGGGGCAAGCGAGCAAGCACCAGCACAAGGGGAGGGAAGGGGCACTGACCGACCTTTGTCGGGGGAGGGTTCGCCCACTCGTGTCAGGTGCTCGTGCGCCTTCCTCTACGCTGTCCTTCGACCCTAAAGTTGTACTTTCCTCCACTGTAGGAAACAGCGTGTCTGTATTTATGTGGGCGGGTGACGTTGACCTCAGGGTGTGCCGAAGTCTTATCGGACGACCACAACGATCCCACAGTTAGTTCTCCGGAGAAAGTCTGTGCTTGGTGGCCCTGAGAATCTCTGGGGCCCAGGGCACGGGGCCTTTTTGCATCCAGGAATTGTCAGAGGCAAAACCAGGGCCTGCACCCACCTTCCCTCAAAACCCCAGAGACCATTTGCTGACAGTCTCCCCCACTTGGACAGCCCTTGACAAGGGGCGCAAATCCAGGTGCAGCCAAACAGGCAGAAGTAGCTCAACCTCCGTGGGGGAGGGGGACCTGGCTAGGCTGACCCAGGCAGCACCTAAAGCGCAAGGCACGGGCATTCACACGACACTCAGTCCACACCCGCCATTCTGCCTGGCCAAGGACACAGAGGCTTGCTTCTAACGTCTTTTGGCAAAACCTGGTCAGGCCGTTTGGTTACAAACACATCAAGAAGGAGCCAACTTATAAGGGCCCCCAGGAAGTCCTGAAAATGGCAGGTTGTGTAGGCTTTTCTGAGAGGAAGCCCCACAGAAGAAGGGCCCGCACAAACACACATGCTTCAGACTACATGATGGGGAGGGGGGAGAATACTTCTTGTTTCTCTCCTGTGGAAACAGCTGGGCAGAGACCCACACCCCCCCCCCGGGACACCAGATAAGAGCAAGCAGGTCTGCACCCAGGACATCCCCTCCCCTGGGAGAGTATTCCGGGACAGTAAGAAGCTCCTGGGGTGTCTGTGGAGGTGACCAAAGCCGGGGGGGGGGATGCAGAGAATTGGGGGGGGCTCGGCCTGCAGACCACTGCCCGCCTTTGGGGCACTCCTTCGGGCAGCCGAGGGTGCTGGGGCGGCCATCGAGATCTCCCGGCCGGAGACCCGCTTCCCAGCCCCTCGGAAAGGACCCCCTTTGACCGCTCGCCTGCCGCCTCCTGCCTTCCCCCCCGGGCTGTAGCGGGCGAGGCCGCACGCAGCGCGGCAAAAGCAGCCGAGTCACTGCCGGGAGCTGCGGGCTGCCCCTCGCCTTCGGCCGCTCACCGGGAGCCCCTCCGCTGCCCCCGGCGAGGCCCACCGCCCGGCCCGCTAATACCTCCGCCAGGGCTCCGGCCCCCTCGCGGGCCTGCCTGGGAAGCCGCGGAGCGCCGGCGGGCGGCCCAGCGGGGGGATCTCCGCCCCGAGCTGCTCGTGTTCCGCTCCGCGGGTCCCGGCGCCGACCCCCCACCCTCGCCCCGCAGCGGAGGAGCCGAGCCGGCGCGGAAGCGCAGCCAACCCCGCCGCCAACGCCGGGCTCCCCGCAGCGCCCGCCCGACCCAGCCCGGCCTTCGTCCGGCCCCGGTGGACAGGAGGGGCCGCCGCCGCCGCGGGAAGACTCACCGGCTCGGAATTGCGTTCGTTGCCCGCCGCCAGGGCGATGCGCAAAGACATCTTCTCCCGCGGTCCAAGCCCGGACACGGCGGGGGCGACGACGGCCGCTTGCCTCCCCCGAGCGGCCACTCATGCGCCCCGGCGCGCTCGGAGGGCGAGGGGCGAGGGGGGGCTGAAGGGAGGCGGCTGGAGCGGCGGGGGCGCCTCTGAGCGGAGACGCGGCTCGAGCGGCGCCTATTCGGCTCGGGGGGCCATGGGGGCGGGGGGTGGCGGGGCTGCCGCCGCGAAGGCAGGCCCGGGGTCAGTCCGCTCTCGGCCGCCGCCTCTCGCTCGCCGTCACTGCCGCCTCGGTGCCCGGCCCGGCCGCCGCACTCTCCCCGCAGGCAGGAAGGGGTAGCGGCGCTTCCTGCCACCCCCCATATGGCTGCGTCCCCGCGCTGGGGGGGAGGGGGAGGAGGAGGAGGAGGAGGAGAGAAGCGGACGCAATCCGAGCCCCGGGAAGCCCCCCCGTCGCCCGGAGCGGCTCCTGAGCCCCCCCTCGGCCAGGCGGGGCGCGGTTCAGCGGGGGCTGCTGCCTGGGGGAGCCGGATCCATGGGGGGAGGCGCCGGCATCGGCCGCTGGGTCGAGGCAGCGGCTGCTCCGGGCGGCCGGAGAGGCGGGCGTCGCGCAGGAGGAGGAGGGAGGAGGAGGAGGAAGGGAGAACGGGGAAAGGAAGGAGGGCGTCGAAGAGGAGGCCGGACCGGGTAGACGACACACGGCAGGCGCAGGAAGCGCCCCCGAGCTGCTTAAAGACGCCGACAGCGGCGGTCCGAGAGGCGCGCCGTGGACCCGGCGGAGGGCAGCGCCTTCCTTCGAGCCCGGGCAAGCGCGGGGAGGGCTGTCGTGGGAGGTGGGCAGCCGCCCGAAGGACGATTCTGGGCCGGGAAGGCCGCCGGGGGCTCAGGCAGCGGGAAAAGCAGCTCCCAAGGCCAGCCGGTGTGGTTCGGTTGCTATTCCCGAAGTCACGCCGCTTTCTGGTCCCTGAAATGCCGCAGCGACCTGGAAGGATGTTTTTCGGAGCGCGCGCGGAGGCCGAAAGCCCGGCAACCAGAGGGAGGAGGAAGCGCTGCCCTTTGATGCTGGGCCGCAGGCGGAGAGGCCGGTTCGGATGCAACGGGATTCCTCACCGAGGACCCACGATTGGGGGGGAGGGGCGGGGGTGTGTATATTCCCTTCTCCCGGGCAGTTGGCGACTGTGTGCTGCCCTGAGAAGGCGCTTCCTCCAGGCAGTGTGAGCCGGGCGAAGGCTGCTGGACGCGGATGTCCCTGGAGCTCCGAGCTAGCCTGTCGTGCCCGCTCTCGCCCGGCTTCTCCCCCTGGGCACAGCCGGCCAGGAGACCGGGTGAGCAGGAGAGGGGGAAGGAAGCCTTTGGGGGCAGGTCGTGATTGCCCATCCTGGGAGGGGGGCAGTCTGCTCTCTTCTCCGGCCAGGGTGGAAGCGAAGGATCAGCCATGGCAACCGGCTCGGACTTCACGGCGGGGCCGGGGCAAAACGGCCTGCTTGCATCCCACCCTCGCCCGTCAGTGGGCTACGTGGCCATTCCGGGCTTTGGGCCAGTCTCCCGGTCATGTTTTTCCGAGGGTGGCCTGGGATAGGTCATACATGACGTATTAAAAGGTCTTAGGCCGGCAGGCCCGTGCAGAGGCGCGTAAAGGCCTTCGAAGGAGAATAAAGCACGGAAATTATGTGCGGCTCGCTTCCTTCAAGCAGGGCTGTCCACCTGGCAAGGTGAAGACCTGGGGACTTCAGATCCCATAATCCCCCAGCCAGCATCGCTGGGAGCTGAAGTCCCGGGTCTTCACCTTGCCCGGCCTTCGTGGGAAGCTCCGCCTCCAGCCGCGGCCCTTCCGTGTGGGAAACGTGTGGCATGCGGAGGGCAGGGGAGACCCACGCTCCTGGGCGGGCCGTGCACAGCCGCAACCCTCTGCAGCCTCCAACCGGCAGCCGCGATCTGAGTGGGGGCCGCGGATGTCCAGGCTGGCGTTTCACCTTTGCCACCGGCCAGCGAAGAGGGCGAAGGTGCCCGTTGGCTGCAGCTCGCGGGGGGGAAAGCCGGGGGGAGCAGCTTCTTTGCAGGGACGGCGATTGTGCAGCATCCCGGCAGGGATCCCCACGGACTGCGCGGACGGACGGACGGATCGGGATCTGCCGCCGAGCAGCCGGGATTTACTGAACCGGCGGCGACCGAGCTCCGGTTCACGAGACACACAGAGAGACACACACACACCGCCCATTAGGCGCCCCCCGCAAAGTCGGCCGGGAGGACGGGCAGCCCGCAGCCCCACGGCTCACGCGGGGAGGGGGGTCTCCAGGGGGCGCCCAGTTTCGCCCGCAGGATGCCCGCCCTGCCCGCTGCCTTGCAGGTCCCACGCAGCGGCCAGGCACCGCCCCTGCCGGCGCTGATTGGCTGCGAGGCGGCATGGAGACAGACCGAGGAGGCCGAGCGGCTCTCACCAGCGCTTTCTATTGGCAGGAGGCGCAGCCAATCGATGTCCGTCAAGCCAGCCCTTAACTCTTGCCTGCCCTGCCGGAGGTACGAGGGAGGCGACTCTGCGCAGGCGCAACTCCGCATGCGAGCCGAATGCTTCCGCAGAGGCGGTCCCCGGTGCTCCGCCGCTCCCCGCGCGGGCTGGAGCCGTTGCTCCGCGACCCGATGCAACCCAGGGGGCTTCCCCGACAGGCTCTGAGCCTCCGCCCTCTAGGCGGCGCCCCGGAAGGAAGGGGGCTCCCCGAGCTGTCTGGCCGGGGCTGATGGGCGGCGTGGTGGGGGGCGCCCTCTGCCCGGAGCTCATCAGCAGGGAGGGACCGGGGGCTTCTCCCCCCGCCCTCTTCCATGGGCAGCCCCCCGCCCCGCCCCCTTCTTGCCCGGCAGCGCTTCCTCCGCCTTGAAACACGGTTCGGGGCTCCTTTGCCGACTCTTCCGCCGTGGACCCCTCCACCCGACAGAGGGGGGGGCTTCGGGGGGACAACGACGGTCTTGGGGGACCGACCCGGCCAATCGTCGGTCCCGCCGATCGCGACCCCGCGCCGACGACGCTACGGCCCGGTGCGCCACGGGAAGACGGGTCGGTCGTCGGGGTTTGTTTTACCTTTACCAAAGAGTTAAAGGGGCTGTTAGAAAGTCCAGACAGGAGACGCTCCTAATGTAGTAAATTGAACAATTATTAGAATAATGATTTGTCTGCATAACTGCAATAATGATGTGTCTGCATAATTGCTAGAACAACGATGTAATGCATAATCACTGGGAAAATTCACTGGGAAAGTTCTCTGTCAGTAATATTTGGCAACCAAATGCGCTCTGCACATGGATACTTTGTAGCAAAACCTTCCATTCTATGCCTGTGAGAAACGTTCCTAATGTATCACAGTGTGTATTTCAATGTGTAGCCCTTTGTTCTTTAAGGAGGGGAGTATAAAAACTGAAGTCTAATCACGCCCTCCTCGTTCAGAATTGCCTATCTCTAATATGCTCTGGACCTTGCGCAAATAAACTTCTCTGCTAAACCCCTCTGGAATTCGTAAGAGTTCTTTCGTTTTCCACAAGACTCCTGCCTCTTCCTGGAAGCCAAAGGAAAGAGATGCCCAGGGAGGCGGCATCCCCTGCCCCACGGACAGAGAGGACCCCCAGCCCCAGAGGAGAGATGCCCTTCAGAGGGCTCCCCCCAGGGGCTCATATCCCCACAGGCCAAAGATGCTGAGGCCCCAGAAGTGGGGCTCAGTGGGCCCCGTGCCTGAAGGCAGCCCCAGAGCGCTGCCCTCAGCAAAGAAGCTCCTGGGAGGGAAAGTTGCTGCCTTGGGGTCAGCCCTTTGAAGAAGAGGCGATGGCCGCCAGGGGGCAGGACCGGACCAAGGACCAAGGCGGAGGAGGCAGCCAGCCTGGGCTGACGGATGGAGTCCCCACCTTTGGGCCTTCCTGCAGGCCCTGGGTTCTGGGCCTGCATAGATCAGGCCTCCTGGAGACAGTTTGGGAGTGGGTGGGGAGCCCGGCGTGGCCCTTTTGCTCCCTGGTCCAGATGGGGGTCTGTCGGCAGAAGGTTCCCCAGCAGAAGGCATGGGAGTGGCTGAAGACAGAGACCACTCCCCAGAATTGGTCAGGCCTCCTTAACCCCCATAAGCAGTTGAGAGGTTTGGGGACTCCAGGCATCCAAGGTCAGAGGCTGGCAAAGACACCGTGCCAGACCACAGACCTGCTTATCCTAATCAACCCGTGGCTTTGTTCAACCACGGTCTATTTAAAAAAAGGGAACTGACTTGATTCATGTACCGGTGGTCCTCGACTTAACACAACAGTTCATTTAGTGACCGTTCAAAGTTACAATGGCACTGAATAAAGTGTCTTATGAACATTTTCCACATTTACGACCGTTGCAGGATCCCTGTGGTCACGTGGTCAAAATTCAGACGGTTGGCAACTGACTCACATTTATGATGGTTGCATCGTCCTGGGATCACGTGATCCCCTTTTGCGACCTTCTGGCAAGCAAAGTCAGTAGGGAAGCCAGATTCACTTAACAACTGCTTTAATAACAGCTGCAGTGATTCGCTTAACAACTGCTGCAGGGAAGGTCTTAAAATGGGGCAAAATTCACTTAACAAATGTTTCACTTACCAGTAGAAATGTTGGCTCAGTTGTGGTTGTAAGTTGAGTATTACCTGTATGATGCTATATTCTGAATCCTGGCTTGTAAATGATCCTGGATGAGCAGCCCGTACATGCTAAGCCCAGACCATAGCAATCATCCCCAGCTTAATAAAAGAGTGCCAAACTGGCCTCTAGGTTGGAGGAGGGTGAAGAAGGTGGGTGGGATGTACCTGCAACCACCCCCCCACCCCCCGGACAAGCACCTGGCTGCAATCGCCCATTCGGGAGGCAGGTGGAGGGCTTCTGCCGTGGGCCTCCCCCCTCCTGGCTGGCGGAGCTGGAATTTCCCCAGCTCCAGCCCTGCTGAGCCTGAGACTTCCTGGCTTGTTTTCCGCCTGAGCATGACCCCCGCCCTCCCTGCCCCTGCCCCTGCC